AACTAATAGTTTAATATATGTCATAAACCCACCATAATTTTCTAAAGCAATTTTCATTGCTCTGTACTTATGATCAATCCATTGAGTTACACAAGCTTTTGTTGGTTTTGGAATGCTATGACCCCAGGCTTCAGCTAATCCTAGTAGTTCATGGCAACGCTTCGGCTACTTTTGATACAAATAATAGTGTTGTAATATTAGTTCATCAACAGTTTTGAAGGAAGTTAAACTTTCATATGCATCTTTTAAAGCTAGTTTAAGTTGATGGTTAAAGCAGTGTACAACTTTCAGCCAAGGCGAACCTTCCTTTAGTAATGCACTTAAACCAGCATAATGTAAGAGTTTGCATTACCATTTGGTAATGCCAATTCTTGCAAAAGCATCCATTATACATATTTTCAATCCATCTGTATCAGAATTCTCTGCTTTTTCAAGAGATAAAAAATCTACTTTTGGACATCTGTTTTTTAAATAAAGAATATAAACTAATTCTGTTTAAAAATTCTGTTAAATTCCTGTTCACATACCGCTGAATCTGTACTTCCATCACTGAGAATGCAGTAAAATCTACAACTTTTTAAGCATTCATTTAATCTTTTTTTAATTAGGATGCCAAAGTAGTCTGTAAATGTAGCAGCTGCATGGTCAGTACCATAAGAATTTCCAAAATTATGGACCCCATTTTTTTCACTAATGCAATCAAATGAGGAAAATCTGTGAAGAGACGCTCTTGTTTTGCCAAGTAATATGCTATGTTAAACTTTTTCCACAAGGATTCAGTGTCTTTTGTGGCCTTTTTACGTAAACCACGCCTAATTAGAGTATTATGAATAACATGCTCAGAAATTGACGCTGAACTTAATGTTGCTTGTCTATGAATTCGAATGGCCTCTTTATGTTGTGCACTGCTTAAATGTGTCGTGAACAAGAGAATTTTAGAATAGTAAATTTCTGTTGTTCAAATAAATTTTGTTTTAAATAAAATCCTAAAATTAAATATTTTAATTGTCTATTTTTAGAAAATGTTATATTTTGATATCGCTTTAAATATTGTGAAAATATTTTTAAAATGGTATTGCGATTTTTCATATTCTATCCAAAATTTCTTGTTAAAATAATTTCTGGTTAGAAACTTGTTATGTGTAATTAATATAAATATAAATAGAAACATGACTAAACTTAGTTTAGGTATGTTTGGGCATGTTCAATTTATTTATTAGTTGAATTTAGTAACTTAACTTAATGGATAATATGATTGACTTTTTAGATTTAGGATTAACTTAATGGATATGATTGACATTTTAGGTAAATTTAGTGTGAAGTTTATTGATGTTACATCACATTTAACTTTAAAATAGAATTAAGCAATTGTTAGTTTCCCTGCAAAGATTTAAGTAATTAAAATTAAAACGCGTTTCACAATGAAAGTCTCTGAGCAAGAGAACCAAAAAAAAAAGTAAAAATATCTTTTTATTTAAAAGTTAAATTTAACTTTTAAATAAAAGCTCTTTTGGAAAATACTACACCATATAAATACTAAAGTTTATATAAATATGAAAGGATATAGTATGCCAGCATCTAAATAAATAGCAAACATATATGTTTATATCTATAATATGTATACCAAAAGCCCATTTCAGAAGGTTTTATTCATTTTAGACTAAAAGTTTGGAAGATTTTATTCCTACTCTTCAAGTCAAACCTCATTCTTCTCCATATTTTTTTCACCATCTTAAGCAGTTGCTTTATTAATCATTTATTTCATCTTTTTTACAAGAACATCTCTCTTAAGAGCAAATATCCTTTTATTATTCCAAGAAGTTAATGTAAAAAGGTCCCGTCTGATGTTAAGCTCTGTTATTCTCAGTTTACTAAATATTGTATCTTATATCAGATGTTAGGTTCTAAAGGCTTTTGGTTAGTCTTCAACAATGCCATTAACTAAAGTAAGTCTAACATTTTATCTTATTAATTATATAATATTTAATATTATTTAATTTTTAAAAAGTGCTAAATAAGTGGTTCCAATTTTTTAAAACTCTAGAAAACTCTTTGACCTCTTCAACTATCCTACAATTAGTCTTCACTTTGTTATTAGTTTCTTTATATAAAGGTTTTGAGATTATTAAATTATTTTTTACTAACTGCATTAATAAAGTTGTTCTTATTCCTACACTCTTCTTTATTTCAAGGGTACCACAAGGTATCTTGCGGTACCCTTTAATCTTTGCTTCTGTGTTGTTACTTATCTTAAATTTAACATCTAAAATGGCTCTATTTGTTGATGACTTAACTTTATACTCTTGTCTTGACAAAAAATCTTCACTTTTTGATTGCTTAGAACAAGCAGCTGATTTTTAATCTAATCTCTCTTTTGTAACAGCCTAAGGCTTGCTGTGGCTTATAGATTTAAATTCTGGACTTGAAATCTGCAACTTTTGTTAGACAATAAAACTCATTTATTTACTGCAAAAAAATATTGCTATAATATTAGTATTTCTATATTGATGAATAACAACTCTCTTACTTTTAGACAAAGTCTAAAAGCACATTGTAAATATAATGCGGTCGTGGTGTAGTGGCAGAGTGCTTGTGTCATAAGCAAGAGGTACCAAGTTGGATCCCCACCACTTGTTTCTCTGCGCAGCAGCCTTGCTTGTCAAGGTTTGTATTTCAGAGTTATATAGTTCAGAGAGGGTTATAACCACAATTAAGTAATCTCCTTATCTGTAGTGATGTTTTCAGCCTTGGGGAAGTGAATCAACATAAAAATAATAATTAATTAGACCTGCTTTATCTGCCAAGCTTGAGCCACTCTCCCTTTGTTGTATTGTAAGTTGCATTTCTTTCTTTTTTCTACATATACAATCATGGTCAATGCTCAAACAAGCTATTATCTCTATTGCGATAAACCAAAACTCATTCTTTCTTGTTTCTTATTCAACAAGTTGCATCCTTTTACTTTATCTGTCTTAGGGATGTACCTGAATTCAGGCTGGAATTTTTTTTCTTTTAAATCAATTTGCTTTTGGCTGTAATTAAACTTTTTTTTTTTTACTTTTTTTTTATGACATGTGACACAGGCTGTGTAAATAAATTAAAAAATCATTATCCTACAGAGCAATGAAGAACTATAAACCGAGGTAAAAAATACAAATAGTATTTTTGCAAATGTATTTGCAGTACTACTATTTCTGAAAATAAACTTACATTTGTATTCTTAACTTAGGTTTACCTATAGTTCTTCATTGCTCTGTATGATAATGATTATTTGACTGTGTCACATTTTATAAAAAAAAAAGTAAAAGAAAAATGTTAATTATAAGTAAATTAAAATGTAAATTAAATGTTAAAATAGGCCAGAAACAAATTAATCTGAAAAAAAATAAAATCCGGCCAGAATTCCGGTACATCCCTTCCTTCATGCTATAAAAACTTTTATTAATCTAGTTTTTTTCCTTGCACATCAAAAAAACCTTATAAATATTAGCCATCTTCATGTTTTTCTTTTATATACAATCTACAACTTTTCAATTCTTCAGTTAAACATTTCCTCATATTTTTACTTATTCTCTATTTTAAAGTAACTCTTAACTTAATAGTGGTTGCTTGCAATCTTGTTGGAAGTAAATTAGAGTTTGAAAATATATAAATTTATGCCAGTATTTAATAAATAGTAAATGTAAGTATAAAATTATAATATATAAAGTATTATAAATTTTTTTCTTGCCCCGGCTATCAACCTCTGGTAAATCTTATAATTTTGCCAGGCCAGGTTTGAAAAAGTCTCACTTTTAGTCACTTACTATCGTGATGTTGCTTATTATGGATTAAAACTTACTAAAAATTAAAAACCTTACATAATAAAGTTTAAAAATTAAAAAAACTCACACAATAAAATTTTTTCTGAATTTTTAAGAATAACCAAAAAAAAAGCTAATTAGAAAGAAAAAAAATTAATCCCAAAAAATATTTTTTATATAAAAAACTAATTACAAAGGTGAGAAAAGCAATTACGCTTAATTCGAGGCCTAGGTTTGATTAACATACTTCCAGTTTGATTCGAACCTCTTGCTGCTTTTCGATCACTCACTTGAGCTTGATCAAATGCAGCAGCTACATCTTAAGTAATGATAATTTTCTCTGTTTTTTGTTCACACCGCAGTGTTTTATTTTGTTCACACTCCAGTGTTCTATTTTGTTCACACTGCAGTGTTCTATTTTGTTCACACTGCAGTGTTCTATTTGCACTACTTTGACTTTGATTGGATCTGCAAGTTCTTCATCTTCTTCACTGCTGCTACTACTGCTTGATGAGCTAATTCTACAGTTGCGTATAACATTTTGCATATCTTTAATCTGTTTTTTTCATCGATGGTCTAAAATAATTTTTTTGTCTTCTCTTATAAAATTGGTACAAAGAGAGAAGGGGTTTCTACCCTTCTCTCTTTGTACCAATAAAAATTTATGATCTTTTTCCATTTTAATCAATTCAAGAGCATTAATTGAATCTCGATTAATGAAAAGGCAAAAAAGCTTGTACAAATATATAGACTGTATCAAAAATAGATAGTTGATTTTGTAAAAAATATATCGAAACTGTAATTATTATTAAAGTGTAGTTATTCTGAAATATCTTATTGAATGAATCTTTTAACAAAAATATTTGCGAAAATATCATTGTGAAAATTTTTTTAATTAAAAATGTTGTTTGAATTGAAACTTTCCCTTTATAGCTAGCTACTAAAATATAATTATGTTTTTAGAAATGTTGGTTATAATAGTTCATAAAATTATAAAAATGTCTCAAAAAAATCCCAGATTGCCTGGGTTTTGTTAGGTTTTTTTTTAGGCAGATATTTAGGATTTATTGGGCAGGTTTTTCAATGCCAACTCTGATGCTAGGACTTGTTATATATTATATCTAAAAGAGAGATGACTAAGTAGTATGTCCTGATCTCTATGTTAAATTTTTTAAAGTTGTATTTATGATTTTAAAGATATAAATATGGAGCGTGCTGTTGATGAAACAGATGTTTTGATTGTTGGAGGTGGTCCTGCAGGAATGAGTGCTGCTGTGAAATTGAAACAGCTGGCACAAAAGAATGGAACTGAACTGCGTGTTTGTCTTGTAGAAAAAGCATCACAAATTGGTAGGATCTGAATTTTATTATTTTTATTTTTTATTTAATTTTTTCTTTCTGTTATTGTGTTTTTGATTTATATTTTTAAATCATTGTATTTTACTGTATTTCTTAAAACAAGTGATTTATTTTTTGTAAATCTCCTGTTTTTGTGGAGGTTTTTGAAAATTAAAGTTGTCAAAAACTTTAATATTATATATTATTTTACTATTATCTATTATACTACATCTATTAGTTTGCTCCAGTATTATTTTGTAGTAATTTGCTCCACTAATATGCTCCATTAATTATATTCCAGTAATTTTTTCCAGTAATATATTCCATACATTCCCTTTGTTCCAGTAATTTACTCTATTTATTCTAGTAATTTATTCCAATTGTTCTACTAATTTATTTCATTTGTTCCAGTAGTTTGTTTTAGTAATATGTTCCAGTAATAAGTCTCAGTAACTTATTGTTAAGCAGAATTTTGATCTTAATTATTGTTAAGCGAAATTTCGATCTTCTTGCTCTACAGCTGATTTGCTAACAGTAATAACTGAAAGGTTTTATTGCGCGTTAGATAAGGGTGGAGAGGTTAAGGCCATCGCTCTTGACATTTCTAAAGCATTTGATAAAGTTTGGCATGCTGGTTTTCTTCATAAGCTTTCTTCTTATGGTGTATCTAGGAACATCTTTAAGATTATTGAATCCTTCCTTTCCAATCGTAGTATAAAAGTTGTCTTTGATGGACAGCACTCTTCTTCTTATTCTGTAACCTCAGGAGTTCCTCAAGGTTCAATCCTTGGCCCTATACTCTTTTTAATTTACATTAACGATCTTCCAGATATTCTCACATTTAAGGTGGCATTGTTCGCAGATGATACTACCATTTATTCTTGTCATGATAAGAAGCCAACTCCCTCTGATTGCTTGCAGAGGGCATTTGAGCTTGAAAAGGATGGCTGGTGAACTTTAATTCAGAAAAAACTCAATTTTTTTCAGCCAATCTTTATCGCAATAATTTAGACCTTCCTATATTTATGAACGGTAATATGCCCTTCATCTTCTAGGATTAACTCTTACTTCTGATCTTTCTTGGAAACCTTATATCAAATCCGTTGCAAAATTAGCATCTACTAAAGTTGCATCTCTTTATCAAGCTCGACACTTTCTTACTCTGGATTCTATTCTCCATCTCTATAAATCTCAAATCTGGCCTTGTATGGAATACTGTTGCCATATCTGGGGCGGATCTTCTAATGATGCCCTTTCTCTTTTAGACAAGGTGCAAAAACGCATTGTAAACATAGTTGGACCTACTCTTGCAGCCAACCTTCAACCTTTGTCACATCGCCGTAATGTTGCTTCTCTTTCTCTTTTCTAAAAATACTATAATGGGCACTGCTCGAAAGAGCTAGCGTCTCTTGTACCATCTAAAAAAATTCATTCTCGTGTTAATCCTCATTCAATTAAGTCTTATCCTTTTTCTGTTACTGTTCCAAAGTGCTCCAAAATCTCTTATTCGTCTAGTTTTTTTCCTCAAGCATCAGTTCTTTGGAATTTGCTTCCTTTGTCTTGCTTTCCTGATTCATATAATTTGCAATCTTTTAAGTCATCTGTCAATCCTTATCTTGCTCTACAATCTTCATCTTTTCTCTGCAAGTAAATTCCAACACTAATTAGTGGTTTGCAGCCTTGTTGGAAGCAAAGATGTTAAAAAAAAATTACCTCTGGCTCAATGTAACTCCTGCTATGGGGCTCTTGGACGTGTAAAGGCTAGAGATAGTATCTTAATAAAAACAATTATCCTGGGAAGATGGTAACTGCATTCAGCTTTTATCTTGTCAAAGGTCTTCAAAGCTAAGACTTTCAGGTAAGTAGAAAGTTTCTTATATGCCTTATTAGAGCCTTATACCTCTTTTTTATCTAATAAGCTAGCATTGATATAAGCTTGTGTTAGCATCCAGCTAAGGTCGACAAAGGCTGTATCTTCTCGACTCTACTCGTATAATGGCAACTTGAACTTTTAGATATGTATATATTTTTTTAACATCTTTACTTTCAACAAGGCTGCAAGCAACTACTATTAGAGTTGGAAGTTATTGGAAGAGAAAAGATGAAGTATATAAAGAAAGACAATGGTTAACAGATGACGTAAAAGATTGCAAATGATATATATGTATGTGTGTGTATATATATATATCAGGCTTGGTCGGGAAGCGAGAGCGATCGTTCTTGAATACTGACCACAGAAGTTATATTTAGTTGCAAAAAACTGGCCTGGTTTTTTAGTCGTTTTGAGAACATTTAAGTTTATGTACGAAACAAAAAATTTTTGTTTTACGGACATACATGGAAACATAATAAACTTGAATGTTCTCAAAACATCTTTGTGCGAAAGAATAAAAAGAATATTCGCAAACATTAAAAACCCGCAAAATTAACAAAGAAACTAATTCTATTGGTTCAAAAAATATACTGACTTAACGAAATAAAGTTCTAGAGTATTCTGTTGAAATGTTTTAGAAATTCTATTATTCACGATTTGTTACGTTTTGAGATTTCTAGCATAAATTGTTTTAAGAATATATATTATTTGTTTACAAAAATAAATGTTTTAAATATAAATTAATTAAATTGTCGAAATTTTAAAAGTTTATTAAAAATTATAGATTTTATTAGTATATTCTTATTTTTTATTTAAAAAGTATGTATTCTTTATGTAAATGTAATTGTGTGTATCTGTTTTTTATTGTAATGTATCTTTTAAAGCAATTTTTATGATTTAAACAAAGACTTACAAAAATAATTGCGTTTTCAATGAAGTTATAATCGTTATAGTTAATAAAACTAATTATGTAACAAACATATAAGAAGTTTCTGGTTAATAAACACAAACAACGCATACAAAGTAACTCGCGGATGAACAAGCACTGCGCCTGAGGTCACGACAGAACACAAATATATATAGCAAATACTTAGATATAAAGAAAAGTTTCTATATATTGGTTTACTAACTCTAATTATTTTCGCTTAAGTTGCCATTCTTGAAACTCGTTATACTTTTTTCTGCTTTAAATACTAATTAAAATTAAAAAGCCCATTCACTACACATCATCAGCGATATTGTGAAGCAGTTTTGCTTCCTCGTCATAAAGTATTTTTAACCTTTTTAGTTGATTTCTATCTTGTTAATTTAATTTCTATAGTAATTCAATGACTTAATTATTTCATATGTTTATCTTACTAAGAAGAATTGCTTCAAATATGTTAAACTTTTCAAACTACGCGAAACATAAAATAGGTATTGAAAATTTTTATTTATAAAATAATTTAGCTTAAATAAAACTAAAACTTGCAAACTTTGCTAAATAAAGAGCGTTTTTTTCCTTTTTAAACAATCGTAAGTTGTTACTTTATATAAAAAACATCGCTTAATTTTGTAAAAAAAATTATAAAAGAGCGATGTTTCGAAAATATTTGTTCTAAATGTAATTTATTTAGCTTAAAGATTTTTCGCGTTTAAAGTTATTTTATTTGCCTAATTTTTTTTTTTCTTTGTTATTGTCTCTCATCGGTCCAATTAATCTTTTGCGCTTTTTTTTTTTTTTTTTTGCTTTTTAAAATGTTCTCAAAACGACTAAAAAATCTGGCCAGCTTTTCGCAACTAAATATTATTTATGTGGTCAGCAATCAAGAGCGATTGCTTCCGCTTCCGACCAAGCCTGATATATATATATTTATATATATATATATATATATATTTATATATATATATATATATATATTTATATATATATATATATATTTATATATATATATATATATATTTATATATATATACCTATATATATATATATATATATATATATATATATATATATATATATATATATATATATATATATATATATATATATATATATATATATATATATATATATATATACATATATATATATACATATATATATATATATATATATATACATACATATATATATATATATATATATATACATATATATATATATATATATACATACATATATATATATTACAACTATTACAACAATTACTACAACTATTACAACAATTTTTGCAACTATTACAACAATTATTACAACTATTACAATGATTATTACAACTATTACAACAATTATTTCAACTCTTACAACAATTATTACAACTCTTACAACAATTATTACAACTATTAAAGATTCCACCATAAAAGTGTTTATATAATAACTACAATTTTTTTTTAGCAGAGCATTTTAATGTGCATTATACATTTTTATTTTTTCTCAAATTGAGACAAATTTATTTAATTCATTATAATAATATATAAAATATATAATTCATTGCATAATATAAAAATCGTTACGCTATAATTTAGTGTGTATTAAATTTATATTACATTATATAAGTGCGTATTAAATTTATATTATAAAGAATGCTTTACTTTTTCAAATATACTTTTTTAAATGTTTAAAAAGTATTATAAAATGAATTTTAAATGGTAGCTCTAATAGGAAGACATTGACTAAGAAAATGATTTAAAACAGAATATTATTAATTTATTTTTTCATTATGGCATTTTTATAAGAAACTGATTTTTTATTTTAAAAAATAATTAGTTAGTCTAAGCTAATTAAAACATTTGCATTTCACACTTTTAAAAAAGCAATACAGTTTATTATGTAGTAATTGGTTCATTTCTAAAATGACTTAGCGATTTTTATCTTAGTTACAACTATATGGTTTAGAAACATTTTTATAAACAACTTTTACAAACAACTTTTATAAACAACTTTTATAAACAATTTTTATAAACAACTTTTATAAACAACTTTTATAAACTATAACATCAAAACCTTTGATTTCCATGTGTGTGTTTTTTTTAACTATAAGCTTTTAAACTTGGTTCTGTTCTATTACTTATCTTTATTTTATTTAGTAATGTCGCAGAAATAATATGGTAAACAAATATATTGACCTAACTTAGATCTGTTAGCGTATGCCAACCATATATTTGTTTCAGCATTCATCAGAGTCATATTTTACTAATGCGGAAAATATTTAGCGAAAAGTATCTAGAATATATTTTGCCTTGACTTCGTCCTAATTTTGCGTTAAAATTATTAGCTTTAATTGAAAGAATTTATTAGCTTTAATCTAGAAAGTCTGGACCCGTAAAGCGGGTCATGATAAGTCCGAATCATACCTCCCATTTATTTTTTAGTCATTTACAATAGGCTACAGAAAATGGTAGAAAGTAATGATCTTAGCTTCTTTAGAGAATCTAATTTAAGGTTTGGTTTTGCGTTGCTCAAGCATTTTATGCATATACCATAAGTCGATATATATAAAAGTTGACTCAAATCTTTTGACTCCTATTGACATTAAAGCCTAATATTTTTTCATGCCATTTCCAAAATAACAGCAATGCAACAAAAAACTGAAAAATCTATAAACCTAATAAACTGAAAAAATAAGCTATATATGTACAAAACATCTATGTATACAAATATAAATATAGTTAAATATAAGCAAAATTCTAATCAAAATGTGATAATTTATAACAGTTTTATAAGAAGAAGAAAGTGAGTTTTAGATCACGGTTAAAGTTAAAGAAGCTGCACAGGATAATAACTGACTATTACAACTAAGCGCATTAAACACTAACTAAGCGCATTAAATTAACAACTTACAAATAATTTATCTATAAAAAAAATAATTTTAAATTATAATTAAATTTGAAAATACAATTAATATTTAGATAATTCTTAATATTATTGGTACTTTATTATTATTGTTATTATTTTGTATTATTACTATTATTATTTATTTTTTTATTTTTTCGTGAAATTTTTATGTTTTTTAGGTGTCACTCCATTGACTACTTTGTAACTATATGAGTAACACCTAACCAGTTTATATTAATTTACGATGAAATTTGTAAATTTTATTGATATGGTTGAATAAAAAAAAGAAGAAAGATACAAAAAAAAAAAAATAATTAAGTTGAAAAATGAAAAATAAAATAAAAATGAAAAGTAAAAAACTATTTTCAAATAAAACAATAACACATTAGCAGATCCTATTTTAGCCAATTACATTCGTTATAACCATTGTAACTAAGCACATTAAACAGTAACTAAGAGCATTAAATGTTAAATTGGAGTTATAATATTAAGACTATTATGCATAAAAAAAAATTAAAAAGTTGCATTTTGTAAGCTAAAAAGTTAATTTAAAAGTCTAACTTTGTCTTTTTTATTTAATGTAGTCTGCACATGAATTTTTAATTTTTCTAATCAATATCTCAAAACAGAGGTTTATATTCATGAAAAAAAAAGTGGTTTATATTTATAAAAAAATATACTTTTGCAAGAGCCATAAATTTATTGCCAACCTTATTTTTCCTGATTCCAAGGGTTGCTCAATTCAATATTCCCCACAAATATATTCTAACCCACTTTATTTTTCCAAATGCACAAATTAATTTAAGTATACAGTAATTGATGTAATTGATGTGTTTAATAGTTAATTCTATAAATGCACACAATAATATACAAGAAAAATATTAAACTATTTTTTATTGAATAGGGGGTCACACACTGTCAGGAGCTTGTATTGAAACTTCAGCATTGGATGAGTTAATACCAGACTGGAAAGAAAAGAAAGTATGATATATTTGATCAAAGGTTATTGTTATTTTAGGTTAAAATTTTTAAATATGTTATTATAAAGTTGTTCTTAAAATAAAAAGTTATGGATGTTTCACGATAAAAAAAAAGTTATATGCATGTTACAATCTCAATATTTCTGAAAAAAATTATTAAGGATGCACTCATAAAATTTTAGAAAAATCATTATGCATGTTACACCTTCTTTGCACTGATAACTTTTTAAAATTAGAAATATTGACAGAATAGTGAAGTTTTGAAAAAAATGAAATATACCATAAGTTTATACCATCTTTTTGAGGTCTGTAATTTTGTATTTATACATCAAGATCATTGATCATTAGCCTGCTCTAAGTTGGTAAAAAAAATATCTGTTTGAAATTATTTTAGGAACGTAGTATTTGCATCATAATATAGTATTTGCAATAAAATTTGAACTTGAGCCATTTTTTTTCTCTATTTTTTTGTTTGTTACTGCACTGCAAGATTGCATATCTGTTTATAACACTTTTCATCCTGGAATGGCAACACTTGTTGGTGTGAGTGGCTTCTCCCTTGGGGAGAATTATCCAGGAGAGAAGCCACTTAAACCAATAAATGCTTCCAGATGTGCAGTTACAGCATAGACTTTTCAAGTAACGATGAGCTGTTTACCTTAAAACTAAACCAAGTTGTTGTTAATATGTTCATCAACAACTTAGCTTGAAATTTTTAAATACAATTATCTCTTTGCAATAGTGTTGCACATTCTTGTAACTTAGATTAAAACTTCCAAATAGAACTGGATAGTTTGGGTCAAGTTTACAGCCAAATAAACAAACACTGTGAACAACCTTATCAAACTTTCTCATTGTTTGAAAAAGTATAATAAGGTTTGTGCCTAGACTGCTTAAGTTTAAACCATAGTTTTCAAGAATTTCTCTACATGTGCTTACTTCAAATGTTCCTCTATAGTGACCTTTCACATTTCAAACATTACTTTATTTACATAAAAATTGACATAAAAAAGAGATGTTAAGATTCTTTGATATCATTTTTAAAAAGAATTGCCCTGAAATAGTTCTTATGTACCTTAGGAATCCATTTTAACATTGTAATGATTGTTTGGTATTTTTGTTTGCTTATGGAAATTTTTTCCACTCTTAATGACAGAAGTATTGCTGGAATCTTGGCAGGCCTCCTTTTGGTTGTTTTTTTTTAATTTATTACAGAGAAGCCCATTTCTTTAAAGAAAGTTTTATAAAAGAGATTCTCATATTCTCCTATTAGTACCTACATCCTACATAACATTGTTGATATGGATGGTGTTTTGTGTTCAGATTTTTTTTCTGTTCATAAATGACCTATTTTTGTAGAGCACAGTGGGCCAGAATTCACTTTTACTGGACATTTTGTCCAGTAAAAGTGAATTCGTAACTAGTTTAATATTAGGGCTTTATTCACTAAAATTAGCATGAGCACTAAAATGATTTCTGCGATTTTTATGAAGGTAATATTTTTTTATTTATTTGCTGTGGATACCGTTATTTTGCTTAGCAACAACCTATTTTCGTTATTTGCAGATATTTTACGAATGCTATATTCACTAAATTTGGTATGAGTACCAATATGAGATCACACTTCTTATAAAAGTGATAATTTTTTTTATTTAATTGCTATGGATACTTATATTGCTTAGTTACCAAATACTTTCCTTAGTTACAAAGGGGTAAATTGATTTTTGAATAAATTTTATTGGATTTTTTTTCAGTATCCCTTTGACATTTACCTAAAGTTATTCAATAGTGTGTAATTCTGGGCAATATGGTGGATTTATGCCCTTGACAAAAAAATTGACTCCATTCTATTGGTATCATAAAATTAAATCTTTTGAATGTAAATAAAATAATAGTAAATTGTTAGGTCTGCTCAAAAATTGATTTATAGAAGAGTGATTGCTGTTTTGCTTTTATGTAAATTTTAGTATTTACAGTGCCTGTAGTGAAAAAAAGTTTACTTTGTTGACCACAGTCACAAAATGCTTGCCAAACAAGGTATTTTTCTCAAAATTTTTTTAAGACCTATCGTCTAAAGGTGTAAAAGTTAATTACATTAGTTTGCTGAAATTTGGTTGCAAACAGAGTTTACTTTTCATGAATTCATTTCATATGAACATCTGAACATATGAACAAACATTTCATATGAACATCTGAAGTTTATTAAAAAATTATTAAGGCTTTGAAAAGAAAAAAAAAAAGAATAAAAAAACAAACAAAAAACATTAGCATATTTAGTGGATGTTCGTGTACCTAGGGCTAGGTTTTTTTGCCAACTTCAAGGCTTTCTAAAAATGGTGAGACTAATATGATCACATCTCTATATTAATTACTTTGTATTAATATAGGTGTAATAGCCTAAATTATAAAAATCTGTCATGTAGAAGGGTTGAAAAATTAGTAACCCTAGGTATAATAAGCTTATTTTCAATTGTACCTAGGGTCACTAGCTGGTTAACCTAGGCCTGCTGTCTAAAAATTAGGTTTAACTTCATTGACAACAAAGATAATCACATAAAATTTGATTAAAATTTATCTAATCTTAAATTGTTTTTAACAAATTTTCTAGTGTTACTTGATTGCAACACTTGAATAAATAACAAAATTGACTAATAACAGGTGATAACTAAAAAATGAGAATAATTCTAACCCTCTAAAATCAAACCGCAAAAGTCAGAAAAAGAAAAATTCTCCTATATGAAACTATCCATATTCTGTTTACAAACTTATCATATGTTTTGTTTTGCATCAGTTAATTCAGTCGTGTTTAAAATTCCATCAAAACAAGATGGACTACGCAAGCGCATTGTAAAGTTATATCAAATGCATGAAAATCTCAGAAAAAAGTTTACTGTGAATCATTTTAAAACCGAAAATGTTCTAGTTTTAACTATTTATCGTTTTTCAGATCCTTAACAACCAATCGTAAAAGTGGTAGTGGAAGGCCAGCTAAAATAATGAACAAGAAAGGACTTCGTTTACTTCACGGTGCTTTTAACAATATTGATTCAATAAGTCAACAAGATACTGTAGAAAAGTTCAAGAATATGCAGCCTTATATATGAAAATTGTTGAAAAAACGGGGAATAGTCTGCCACAAAAAACAATTGCAATTATATGATATATGTAGCTCAGTGTTTTAATACACTG